TCCAGGTTCCTGCCCTGAGTTCCTACCTTGGGCTCCCAGATGGACTGTGATCTGGGATATGTAAGTTAAATAAACCCTTTCCTCCCCAAGCTGGTAGTGATCAGAGTGTTTTGTCACAGCAATGGAGAAACAAACTAGGACACCAAGCTCACTTTTCTTTCTTCCTATATCAAAAGGTCACTGAAAGCTCACATTCTAGTTGATTAAATCAAAAGTAGCAAGAATGCCATAAAATAGAGCTTGTTACTTAATCCTAAATTTATAATGCCCTACCCTCAAATTTCCTGGGAACCCCTTAGAATTCTCCGCCAGTTCTCTGTATCAAGACAGTTGTCTCCCAAGATTATTTCAAGCCATGTACAGCCCCCTAAATCATAACACCTTCCTGCCTGTGTCTTGCTATCTAGGTGTCCCTGTTTTATAATTTAGAGATATTCCTCAAGTCATCAGTTTAAACTCCCTCATTCCCCTGACTCCAAGAAACAAAACTTTCACTGTAGACACACATCCTAGCCACTTCCTCACCTGAAGTGCCAGATGTTTCTCTCCTGATAAGGGCTAATCCCTGCACCTGTGTTAGGAATGCTTCTCATCTGCCTTCTCAAGGTTGGCTCAGTTTCTTCTGTGTATTCAGATCTACCTGTCCACTGACATTTAACCATGTTGAACTTTTTGTCATTGAAGCAACGGTGAAAACATATGGCTCTAGTCAATCTTCCTACTGTTATCTCCCTTCCTGCCTCCTCCTCCCTCCCTCCCTCCCTCCCTCCCTCCCTCCCTTCCTTTCCTTCCTTTTCTTTTTATTTTTTTCAGACAGGGTCTCATGTATCCCAGGCTCACTATATAGTGAAGGATGACCTTGAACTTCTGATCCTCCTACTCTACCTCCTGAGTGCTTGCATTACAGGTATACACCACCACATCTGGTTTATGGAGTGCTGGATATGGAACCCAGGGCCTCATACATGCTAGGCAAGCACTATACCAACTGACCTACAACACCTGCCCCCTACCCCAATCACATCTCTTAAAGGAGTTATCTATATGTCTGCCTCAACACACTCACCACCCACTTCCACTTATTTGTAACTCCTTCCAGTATCTGATTTTCAGCTCTCCCACTTCACAAAAACAACTCTAAACTCCCCATTGAACTTCACATTGACTGACACAATGAATATGTCTCTCTTCATCCTGCTGGGGCTCTCAACAGCATTGGGTACTTTTAAACGCTTCCTTTATCTTGAAACAAAACTCCCTAACACAGTACATAGTCTGAAAATGATCTCTTTTTCTTCAAGGTCATTAGATGCCATGCTCTTCCTCATAGCTTCAGCTGCAGACAGCCAGGTCTTCCTTCTATACTGCACGCTCGCTACACTCCTTCTTGTGATAAACCTTTGTTCACATATGACATCATGTTCACATATGATGTCACTCCACCTTTCCTTCTTCTCTCCCCTGGTTAATGTCTATCTGTGATTTACACATTACGGAAATGCCACATACTGAGGCTTCTGCCAAGGCCAGAGTACCTAAATATTTCTCCTTCCTCTAACACTTGTCAAGATTGCACATTTACATTTGGCTTACTGTGTATTTAATGGACAACTGATTCTCTCACTATTAGAAACTCCACAGGGTAGAGACAAGCCCAATGTTAGCTGCAGTGTGAATGTGAACCAGTTTCCAGCCTACTCTAAGGATCTTAGGATAAAAGACCTTATATACTGGTGGGGATCTGGGACTTTGTGTTCAGACTGCTTGGGTTCAAATCTTTCCTCTGGCCATTTTCTGGCTTGAAATCTTAAAAGGGTCACTTAATATCTTTCAGTTTTAGTTTTGTCAATTATCCAATGGGAATGGGCATACCTGTGCTCAAAGGGTTGTTATAAGGGCTCAGTAAGCTGATAGGAGTCAAGTGCTTAGAAGAATCCCCACTAGAAAGTAAAGTAAGTTCTTTATAAATATTGAATGTTATAATAACTACTCATCAAGTGAATAATGATAATAAATAAAGCAGCTGATTGGTCAGCTCTGAATTCCTTTAGCATTCTGGGTTTTGTTTGTTTATTTGTTTAGTTCTAGCAAGAGCCATTGATATCACCTGCTTGGGGGAAAACATAAACCACTGGGAAATCAAAACTACAATTAGACAACTCTCTCTTATTAATTCAATGGTCTTTACTATTTCTCTACCCACATGGGATCTATGGGTATTTTTTCTTGTTGCTTATTGAGACATGGTCTCCCTGTAGCCTCAGATGGCCTGCTATTTGCTCTGTAGACCAAGGTGGCCTCGATCTCACAGATATCTGTTTTTCTCTGCCTCTTGAGTGCTGGGTTAAAGATGTACGCCACCTCATCTGGCTCTGTGGGTATTTTTTACTTGTGTTTCACAAGCATAATTTCTATATTGTCACTTTCATAGTTGGGTAGAATCGAAACTACATTAGAATTGGAAATTTTTGTACTGTAGAAGAATTTTATGTGGGTAGCACCATCATTCTGATGACTAGAAAACAGGCTGACAAAATTCAAAGGCCCACAGCAGTGAGTGATAAACCCAACCTAGACCTATGCACCTACCGCAGACCCCTTTGCTCCACGTCGCTGAATGGAGGGGGAGAGGGTCAAGTTTTCTAAACAATTTTATGTAACACAAAATTACACATATTTTCCATTACATGCTACTGATCAAGTACTTTAGGGAAACCCATTCTATCAAGTCCCATTTTATTATAATCTATCTTTAAGATCAGACTTGAAGACTTTAGAAATACTGTACTCAAGATTAAAATCACTATTTAGAGGGGGCCCTTCATTAGAGAAAGCACAGTGGTAAGAAATGGTAAAAAAAAAAATTTAAATGAACAGGTAGGTGTCCCACTTACTGCTTTGTCTCCTAGAGCTGTTCTGATGCTAAGTCTTACTTTAAAGGCATTTTCTGCATCTGCCAGAGAGAAAAAAGAATGAGCAGCAAGTTATGATAAAAATATAAGAAAACAGAGCCTCATAAAGCCTAACACTTAATACGACCCAAATTAACACAACAAAGAACTATACTTGAACTGCCCCAAATATCCCTGGAAGTTTGATGGAAATCATATTCGATCATTTGCGTTTTTCTTTCAAACTCATGAGAGTCATAGGCTAAACTTTCAAGCCACAGCATATCTGTAGACTTAGAAAAATATTTTTTTAATCAATGACTCATCAATTATTTAGAAAGCTGCTCATTTTTTTTTTAAAGTTTCAAGGTGACATACCTGGATGACAGAGTTCAGCGTGAATAGCGGTCACCAGGAAAAAGAGCGGCCACAACATTCTTTCAGAGTCGAAAACAGAAGACAAAGTGAGAAAAAAAAATCCACTCTCTGCTTAAAGCTGCCTTAGCCATTCTGTGACCCGGATTAGAATATCAGAGAAATCAGCGAGCCACCATCTAAAAGGTTTAATAATTAACACCCATCACTTGGGTTAATACTTCCATAAAGCAGACCATCTCCTGTCAGTTATTTACGAAAATCTATTTGGGAGACAGAGTAGTTGTTTTTTTCCAGACTCTCTCAGAAGAATGTTTCCTCTGCTGACATAATCAGAATCCACCCCTCAAGCCTTCTGGCATGTCTGGTGGAGACAACTGAGACCTTCCTGGAGCTTTTCCTTGGCATAAACTTTCTACCCTTTTGGGCTAACCTGTACAGTTCACAGGCAGGCTATTATATTTGGGAAACAAATATGAATCCTTTTCATCTCTGGTGAGGCAAGGATGCACTCCTTCAAGTAGCCTCACCCAAGTCGTACCTCAGTGGGTAAACACTGGAACAGTTTTCATCTCAAAAAAGGGGGAGATGGTTTTCTTTAAACCTTAGGTCTGGCAGTTGTCTACAAATCAACAATAATAACATGGATCCTCACTGCCCAAGCCAAAGGTTGTGAGATGATGATGATGATGATGATGATGATGATGACAATGACAACGACGACGGTGAAGTTCTGTGCTGGCGCTATCCAATATGGTGTCCACTAGATATAAGTGACTATTTAGTGACTTGAAAGGTTAGTGTTGCTAAGAAACCGAACTTCTCATTTACTATAATTAAATTAACTTTAAGTTGTCACATGGGACTAGTGACCACATTGGTCAGTGCAACTACATAACAGTCACTAAGAGCTACCTTCCACGAACTAAGTTCCCTGGATTATTTCTCACATCCTCCAAACAATGCCTCACAGTAGTTATAATCATCTCATAGGAGGGAAACATGGACTGGGTGTTAAAGTCATTGACATCAGTGGCATGAGTGGAATGGCTGTCCCTTTCCCATCTACAGTGACTCACGCTGGAATCTTGTCACCACCACAAGCCAAAACTGAAATGACAACCAAACCCTAAGATGCTCTGAGGATTAAGAATATGAGGGTAAAAGACTCTCCCCAGGTGGGCATCCCACCAACAATGCCAATAGAAGCCCCCGAGGGCCATGCCAGGGCTGTCTTCTCTCCCCTGCTACCTCCAGGAGGACCTCCTTCCTGGAAAATCGGGAATGGAAAGCTTAGATTGCATGACTCTCATGTTAAATGGGAAATTTGGATTTTTAAAGCAAAAGGAGAAAACTATCAACAGAGACACTTTGAGAGTACTTTGAGAGGCACAGTAAAAGTGGATTTTATCGGCGATGATCTATTTCTGTTAAGTAAATCCACCCCAGGAAGGTTTTTCCCATCTCCTCTACCTTGGTCCCAACAGCAGAGTGGGAAAATCTGTCCCAGAGGAAGCGGCAGCCAAGCTGGCCCTGTCAGGGTAGCAATGTCACTGTCACATGCAATGGAAATTTCCCAAAAGGAAGAGCTTACTTAACCACTCCCACTCTGAGAAAAATAGACTACATGAAGTTATCTTTAGAAGGAAAAGTCAATACACACAGAGATAGAGATTCAACAAAGCATTTGATTTGTATCGTGGAACAAAGCCGTGTTAGAGACATAGACATTGGATTCAATTTGCCTTTAGTCTTGCATTTCATGAAAGTGATAAATTCTCCATATGCCATCTATGTGACTTAACCATCTATGTGACTAGGATTCAGTGGTTTTTCTTCACATGCAAAAAAAAATGTTTAAAATACGGACTGAAGAGATGGCTCAGTGGTTAAGAGCATTTGCAACTCTTGCAGAGGACCCCTGTTTGTTTCCTGGCACCCACATGGCAGGTCACAACTGTGTGCAATTCCAGTCCAGGGAATCTGATGCCTTCCTCTGGCCTCCTAAGGTACTGCATGCATGTGACACACTCATATGCAAGCATAACATTCATAGGGGCAGGGAGCAAGCAAACACACTTTCAGCCTTACCTAGCAAGTATCCTTACTCCCTGAGCCATCTTGCCAGACCTCAAATTATTTTTAAGATATTTTATTTATTATTTTTATTTATGTATCTGAATGTATTGCCTCTATGTGTATAAGTGCACCTGTGCATGTCATGAAGTGCCCCTGGAGATCAGACGAGGGTGTTGGATTCTTCTGAAACTGGAGGTACGGATTGTTGTTATCCACCTTCTGGGTGCTGGGAATTGAATCCAAGTCCTCTGCAAGAGCAGACAGTGCTTTTAACTGCTGAGCCATCTCTCCACCCCCAAATTATTTTTATCAGCAATTGATATTGTATTTTTATCAACTGCATTTTCATTATGTATAATATCATTTTGATCATAAGATTGCACCAAGTGTTCCATTAATAAATTTCTTTGTATTATTTCAATTTTTAGATAAAATGTGTTTTTAACCTTACTTTTTGCATTGCTTGTGTGTCCCATAGGACTTTTTTAAAAGATTTATTTTATTTTTAATGATCTGTATGTATGCATGTGTGTCTCTGCGTGGGTATGTGTGTGTAAGTGCAGTTGCCCTCAGAGACCAGAAGAGGGCATCAGATCCCCTGTAACCAGCATCACAGGCAGTTGTGAGTCACCTGACATGGATGCCAAGAACCAAACTCTGGCCCTCAAGCACTCTTAGCCACTGAGCCACCTGTCCTGGCTCCGATAAGACTTTTTTGTTTATTTGTTTGATTCATTGATTGTTTGAGGCAGGGTTTCCCTGTAGTTCCAGCTAACCTGGAACTCAATATGTAGACCAGGTTGCCTCTGCCTCCTGAGTGCTCAGATTAAAGGCATAATGCCTGGCCCCCTTAAGGCTTTTAAAAACTTAATTCCTTAAAAGAATATCGTGTAGGGTATTTTTCAACTTCTGATGCTTGAAACGTTTTTCCTCCTGGCCCTTACAGCATCAAACACTCTGCATGTTTAGAAATCCTTATGTAAATATGAAGAATCCGGGGCTGAAGAGATGGATCAGTGGTTAAGAGCACTGGTGGTGGCCCTTCCAGAGGACCAGAGATCAATTCTCAGCAACCAGATGGGGCAGCTGACAACTGCTTGTGACTCCAGCTTCCAGAGGACCTCTCACTTCTGGCCATTAAAGGCACCTGAGCTCCATGCATATACCCAGGGTACATACAGACACATACGTATATACATAATTAAAAATAAAGATAATATTTTTTTAAATGAAGAGTCTGAACTATGTTTCATTTCTTATACTATCACTTATTCCAGGCCTTATTTTCTCTGTGTTCATTTTGACTGTTTCCAGTTTCTTAAAAAAAAATCATTTTGTTAAGATAATCCAATATTCTTACAGACTTTCTGGAATACTTCCATAAAATATCTGTATTTGTTGCTTTCTCTCAGTACTGGGGATTAAACCCAGGGCCTCATACATGTTAGGCATATGTTCTACCACTGAGCTCTATTCCAACTCCTCTTTTTACTTTAAAAATAAAGACAAAAGGTCTCACTAACTTGCACAGGCTGGCCTTGAACTTGCTTTGTAACCTAGTCAATCCTTGAACTTTTGATCCTCCCAAGTAGCTGGAATTACAGACCTGCCCCACCAGGCCCAGCTGCTGTGTCCTTTTTATGATTTTTTTTTTCATATTTTTTGAGACAGGGTCTCACTATGCAGCCCTACCTGTCCTGGAACTCCCTTTGTAGACCAGGCTGGGCTGGAACTCAGAGATTCACTTGCTTCTGCCTTCTGAGTGCTGGGATTAAAAGTGTGCACCACTATGCCCAGCTTCTTTATGCTTTAGTGTGCTATTAATTTTTCTCATTTTCCACTGAACTTGCCAGAGATTTACCTGTTTATATTGTAATTTAATAAAGAACAAGACAACAAATCTTAAAATTTTCTTCTGATTTCTGATTTATCAGCATATTATGAACTTGTTAAGCCTTATTTCTATGACCATCGTTTTTGTTCTCTTTATAACTCTCATTTAATTTTCATTTTTCTCAGTTACTATTACAAAAATCTAAGATTATGAATTTTCCTCGAGTATTGTTCTAGCTGTATGACATAAGAAAGACTCATCTCATTTGTATTTTCTATAAAGTTTACAATTAGGGCTTGGAAACATGTCTCAGAGATAAGAGCACTTGCTGTTCTTGCAGTGTTTGATTCCCAGCCCCTACATGGGAGCTCACAACCAGATATAACTCCAGTTTCAGGGGCTCTGGCGCCCTCTTCTGGCCACATCAGCCACTGCATGCACGTGCTACATTTACAAGCAGTCAAAATAATCACACACGTAAAATAGTAAGAAAGAATTTTTTTTTTTCGGTCTTTTTGAGACAGGGTCTCCCTGAAGCTCCAGCTGACCTGGAACTCCCTATGTAGACCAGGCTGGCCTTGAACTCACAGAGATCCGCCTGCCTCTGCCTCCCGAGTGCTGGGACTAAAGGCGTGTGCCACCATGCCCAGCTACGAAATAAATCTTTCTTGAAGTTCACAGTTACAGTTTACATTTTTCTCTATATCCCAGCAATTGTCTAGAAAAGTATTTCCTACAGCAAAAAGAAACAGCAGCCAAAATGGAAGCATTTATTACAGACTTTTATAGGTCCTTTCATACAAATAAAAGGACAAAAGTCGGGGCTGCAGAGATGGTTCAGCCAGTTAGGCGTATTTGCTGCTCTTGCAGAGGGCCTGAGTTCAGTTCCTAGCACCCACATCAAGTGGCTTACAGTCACCTGTAACTGAGACTACAGGGACTCTGATGTCCTCTTCTGGCATGGGCATCCATACATACAGAAACACATGCATACACACACAAATAAAAATTAAAATATTTTTTAAAAGGACAAAAGTTTAAGTAACAAATATAAGACAGACACTACCAACAGCTTGACTTCATAAATGAAGGTGCCACAATTTGCTTGTCACATTGAAGATATTAAAAAATGCATTATTAAGTAAGCTTTCCTCAATAAAATACACAGAAAACAGAGCTAGATACCAGGCTTCCTACTTCTCAATATTCTGTTTTTATTTTCTTGTACTTTTTAAAACCTTGTGCAAATTAAGTGTTCATTTTAATGTAATTTCTTTACATTTATTTTGTGCATGGTTATGTGCATGTGCCATGGTGTGCATATGGAGGTCAAAAGAACTTTCAGGAGGTGGTCCTCCTTCTACCATGTTGGTTCTGGGGACTGAAC